TTTAGCTTTTCAGTGACCAAACCCACTGCCTTAGCCCACAACCTTCTAACCTCATCTTTACAAGAATCCTCTAGCAACCAAGATACCTCAAACCAAAAAATGTCAGCATTGAGTTACACCACTGTGAAACATCGTATCCAGCAACATTGGGCAATAATAAGAAAAAACATTATCAATATGATGCAAAGAATAAGATGAAAATAAAGCATTCCACGAATCAAAAGCCACCCATCTATCCACCCATGCACGAATATTAGTTTCTACTTGCGTTCCACGCTCCCAAGTATACAAGTCCCAATAAACCCGATGTCAAACAAGCCACATGAGTCTAAAGCCTCCCGAAACACCGCAATATGTCTTTCAGTGCAAACCATCCCACGTTTCTTTTCAAAAGAGTGGAGAATTTCTTTAAAATCTCACATAACTATCCACGGGATATCTAGACTGTCATCTAGTTGCTTGAGAAAGTCCCACGATTCATACTGTCTACTTTCCTCAGAGGCTCCATAAAAGCCAGTAAACGTCCATGACTGGTCAGCATTAAATAAAACGTCAATATGAAAATTTGAAAAAGAGTGTAAAATAACATCACAAGTTTGTCTCCACGCCAAGCAGAGACTTCCCCTAATACCCTGCGCATCAACTTCCACACTATAAAGCAAACCACAATACTTCCTTATTGGAAATTTAGTTATTGAAAGCATTGATTTAGTCATAATCCGTGAGATATTCTAGGATTTGTTTTCTATATAAATATAGAAAGTAAAAGTTGTAAATCAAGACAAAGTAGGAAAGTATAAGCTGTCAAATATTGGCTCTAATTATTTTCCTTTTTTTGTTGTAATTTTTCTCTATATAAAATGAAGCCTTGTACTCATTCAAGAAATAAGACACATATTATTTCTTCATTTTTTCTAAGTTGGTATCAGAGCCATAATCGTCTCTTAATCCTAAAACACAGTAGTTCCAAAATCACCGTAGCCATGTTCGAAGTCGTGTCGGAAATCACCTCAACCCCTTATGCGGCCACTCTACAGCACCACTCCAATTCTCATTCCGTCCAAATTAACACCATCCGCTTAAATGGTGACAACTTCCTCCGATGGTCACAATCAGTCCGGATGTATATTCCTGGGCAAGGGAAAATCAGTTACATCACTGGTAACAATAAGGCTCCTACTTTTGATGATCCGCTGTACGCCACTTGGGATGCTAAAAACTCCATGGTTATGACATGGCTGGTTAATTCCATGGAGGAGGACATAAACTCCAATTACATTTGCTATCCTACTGCAAAAGAATTATGGGATAATGTTAGTCAGATATATTCTAACCTGGGCAACCAATCTCAGGTTTTTTAGTTGACTTTAAAATTAGAGAAGATTCGTCAAAGAGATAATTATGTCATTACATATTTCCATTCGTTGAAAATACTGTGGTAGGATCTTGATCTCTTCAACACAAACGAATAGAAAAGTACTAACGACTGTAATCACCATAAGAAAAATATAGAAGACGTCCGTATTTACAAGTTTCTTACCGACCTCAATGGCGAGTTTGATAAAGTACGAGGAAGGATTATTGACAGACCTCATCTTCCATCCATTGGCAAAATATTTGCGGAAGTTAGAAGAGAAGAAAGCGGAAGGAATGTCATGCTCAAAAAGAGGAGTGCTGGTGTGTTAATTGAAAATTTTGCCTTATTGAGTGATGTTGCAGCCTACAAGACATCAAACTACCAGCACAGGTCTGATGATAAACCACGGGTTTGGTGCGATTTTTGCAACAAACCCCGCCATACACGTGAGACATGTTGGAAAATTCATGGCAAACCTGCTAACTAGAAAAGAAACAAGCAAGAAGAGAAGAATCGTGGAATTCCTACTGGAAGTGAAGCTGACTCAGGTCCCTTCAACAAAGAGCAGATTGATCAACTCTTGAAACTGATAAAATCCAATTTCACATCGGGTATTCCTAGTGTTTCTTTGGCATAAACAGGTAGTAATCCTAAAGCCCTTTCTTGTCCAAATTTCTCTACGTGGATAATAGATTCCGGAGCCTCATATCACATGACTAGTTTTTCTCATTTATTTAATACATATTCACCTTGCCCTGGAAATGAAAAAATTAAAATTGTTGATGGTAGTTTTTCTCCTATTGTAGGAAAAGGACTCATTAAACTGACAGAGAAAATTAATCTCAATAGTGTTCTTCATGTCCCTAAATTAGCCTGTAATCTTTTGTCTGTCAGTAAATTATCTAGAGATTCTAATTGTTGCATTACCTTCTTTGAATCATATTGTGAATTTAAAGACTGAAACTCGGGGATGATGATTGGACGTGCTAGGATGATTGAAGGTCTTTATTACTTTGATGAAGTATCTATCAGTAATAAAAAAGTTCAGATCTTTAGTGGTACTAGTTCAATTTATGTTCGAGAAAAAAATAATGGTGTGGCACTATAGACTAGGACATCCTAGTTTTCTTTATTTGAAACACTTATTTCCAGAATTATTTAAAGGGATTGTCTGTTCTTATTTTTATTGTGAAAATTGTATTTTTTTTAAAAACCGTCGTTCCTCTTATTTAGTAAAAGATTACCAGGTCTCCAAACCTTTTTATCTGATTCATAGTGATGTTTGGGGCCTTTTTAAAGTTACTATTATTTCTGGTAAAAGGTGGTTTATTACTTTTATTGATGATCACACACGTTTATGTTGGATTTATCTAATGAATAAAAAGTTTGACGTGAAAGATTTATTCAAAAAATTTTACACTGATTGAAAACCAATTTCAAACCAAGATTATTATTTTACATTCTGACAATGGAACAGAATATTTTAATGAACACTTAGGTGATTTTTTAAAAGAGAAAGGGATTTTTCATCACTCTACATGTCGGGATACCCCTCAACAAAATGACATTGCAGAACGAAAAAAATAAACATTTACTTGAAGTAGCACGTGCCATGATGTTTTACATGCATGTTCCCAAATACTTATAGGGTGAAACAGTTTTAACAGCCGCTTACTTGATAAATAGGATGCCTACTATGGTGTTAATTTTTTTCCTGGAACAAGGTTATTTTCTGATTTACATGTCAAAGTTTTTGGATGTACTGTCTACGTTCATGTTCCATGCCAATTTTGTTCAAAACTTGATCCACGTGCTATTAAATGCGTTTTTTTGGGGTATTCTTCAAATAAAAAGGGTATACGTGTTTTGATCCTCAAACAAAAAAATTTCATGTGAGTATGGATGTGTCGTTTTTGGAAACAAAACCTTATTTCACAAAAAATTATCTTCAGGGGGAGACAAGTGATGTAGAAGACAATCCCACTACCCAATGTCATTTATCCTACACAAAAACCACGCATTTCTGAGAGTGGTTGCTTTGATTCGAGTGTTTCTAATAATGATTGCCTAGGAGAACCAGGTTTGTTGGTGCCTAATAAAGGATATTCTCGTTCAGGGGGAGAAGTACTACAAACTAATCAACGTGATTCAAATATCAACCCAGCATGAAACCAATATGAAGATCTGAGTTCTGGTATCGAAACTTCAGGTAATCCTATCCCTACTACACCTTTGATTTCCTCCTCTTTGTCCAACAATTCACCTAGTATTCCTGATCTTGATGTCCCTATAGCACTTAGGAAAGGTGTCTGAAATTGCACTTAACATCCCATTGCAAATATATTTCCTATCATAGACTATCAAAAAACCATAAAGCTTTCGCATCTAGGATTTCACATTTGTTTGTTCCAAGGAATAGACATGAAGCATTGGATGATCCGAATTGGAAATTAGCAGTCATGGAGGAGATGAATGCTCTAAGGAGAAGTGGTACATGGGAGATTGTTGATCTTCCTAAAGGTAAGAAAATAGTTGGGTGTAAATACGTGTTTACAATAAAAAGTAAAGCTGATGGAAGCGTTGAGAGATACAATGCGAGATTGGTGGCTAAAGGCTTTACTCAGACATATGAGATTGACTACCAAGAGACTTTTGCTCCTGTTGCTAAAATAAATTCTATTAGAGTATTGTTATCTCTTGCAGTGAACTTCGATTGGCCTCTATATCAACCTGACATTAAAAATGCATTTCTCAATGGTGATCTGAAAGAGGTGTATATGAGCCTACCGCCGGGATTTGAGAAGAAACTTGGCAGTAACAAAGTATGCAGATTACATAAGTCACTATATGGACTCAAACAGTCACCAAGAGCTTGGTTTGACCACTTTAGAAAGATAATTATCAGTTATGGCTTCTTGTAGAGTCAAGCTGATCACACAGTATTTTATAAACATTCAAAAGATGGTAAAATTACAATTTTGATTGTTTATGTTGATGATATTATTCTCACTGGTGATGATGAAACAAAATTAGATATTCTGAAGAAAAAACTAACAAAGGAGTTCCAAATTAAGGCTATGAGAGCTCTTAAGTATTTCCTTGGGATTTAATTTACAAGATCTAAGGAAAACATATTTGTCAATCAGAGAAAATATGTTATTGATCTCCTTGGAAAAACAAGTCTACTTGGTTGTAAGATGGTTGAAACTCCGGTTGAGCCAAACTTGAAGTTACAAGCTGCTAAGGTTGAAGAAGTAAAGGACAGGGAACAATATCAGAGACTTGTAGGGAAGTTGATTTACTTGTCTTATATACGACCTGATATTGCTTTTGCAGTTAGCATGGTAAGTCAATTCATGCACTCACCAGGGGCGGGGATTTTGAGGCCATCTATAAGATCTTAAGATATTTGAAAGAAACTCTAGGAAGAAGCTTATTGTTCAAGAAACATTGACATCTTCAAGTTGAAGTCTACACAGACACAGATTGAGCAGGAAGTGTTACAGACAGAAGATCAACGTCTGGATACTTTTCCTTTGTTGGAGGAAACCTAGTTACATGGCAGAGTAAAAAACAAAATGTGGTAGCTAGAAGTAGTGCTGAAACAGAATTCAGAGCCGTTGCCCATGGAATCTGCGAGGCGATGTGGATAAAAAGGATTCTTGAAGAATTAAAGTTTTCTTACTCGACTCCAATCAAGGTATATTGTGACAACAAAGCTGCTATTGCTATAGCTCATAATCCAGTTCTTCATGATCGCACGAAACATATAGAAGTGGATAAACATTTCATCATGGAGAAAGTCAATGCAGGAATAATATGCATGACATATATTCCAACTGATGAACAATTAGCTGATGTACTAACGAAGGGACTACACAAGAAGCAATTTGGTAAGTTGACTAGCAAGCTGGCTATGGAAGATATCTTTAAACCAGCTTGAGGGGGAATGTTGAAATTTGGTCATTGAAAACCTTGATTTAGTCATAATCCGTGAGATATTCTAGGATTTTTTTTTCTATGTAAATATAGAAAGTAAAAGCTGTAAATCAAGACAAAGTAGGAAAGTAAAAGCTGTCAAATAGTGGCTCTAATTAGTTTCCTTTTTTTGTTGTAATTTCCCTCTGTATAAAAGGAAGCCTTGTACTCATTCAATAATAAGACAAATATTATTTCTTCATTTTTTCTAAGTTAACTCTTTCCATACAAGAATTATGTAATTTCGTCTCCATGAAAAAAACTACAGCGAGATTTTTGTCTCTCAACATATACTTGAGATGACGAACAGTTCGGGAATTCTCACCCTCAGACGTTCCATCTTAAAAGTTTCATTGTACCTGGTTGACCTGAGAAGTCAGATCTGCCGATATAACATTATCTACAGTTTTGTTCTTACCCTGATTGTTCGGAGTAACTGTATCACTCCTCAATCTTTTGACACCATCTACCTTCTTTTGAATTGGAAAAGAACGTTCCCTGTCCCATTTCCTCCAATTTTCTCTATTTTGAATTTGGAAAGAACGTTCCACACATACTCTTGTTTGGTGACCAGAACAAGTCCCAGAAGACGCAACAATATTTGATCCCCCTGTTGCCAACATAGGAAAATTAGACTACCCACCCCCACGATTTCCTCTAGCTGCCACGGACTTGATTGAACTCCCCTTCTATTCGTCAGTGCTCAAATTGAGAGATCCCATTGTGGGATCAAATCTTTTTTTATCCTTAAGGACCTGCTAAAACAAAACTTCTCACCATGTCCCAACTTCCTACATAAAAAACAAAATAAAAACTTTTCATATTGAAAAGAAGCATAAACAGAAGATCCATTCAAGGTTGCTCTTTTTTTCTTTTTAAAGGCTTTCACACATCAAGACTAACTCTCACTCGCATGCTACCCGTATAAAATAGGCTTTACATCATAACTAACCACTACGGCACTACTCTTATAAAATAGCATCAACTAAGACACTAATTCTACTAAATAACAAATCCTTAAAGACTCGGTCAAACCCACCAACAACTACTACTTTCAAATATTAATAAATATGAAATAAAATATTTAAATCTTAACAATACTACTATCAGAATCTGAAGGTTACAGTTTTTTTTTGGTGTGTGTGTGTGTTGAGGAGTTAGGATGAGGGTAGTTCTTCTCTGGAATGTCAGAGCTTGAGTACATATATATACATACATATATAGAACATACTGTTAACATTTATTTATTGGTTGCAGGAGCAACCCAATCAAGAAAGAGGCAAACGTGATCAGCATTTGCACAATCAAGAAAGAGGCAGACGTGACCAGCATTTGCACAGTCAAGAAAGACGCAGACGTGATCAGCATTTGCAGTCTCAATCACACGGGGTAGTGGATGAGAAGATAAAACTGATGAGAGATCAGCTCATTCTAGCAAAAGCATATTTAAGTTTTGCACCACCAAATAGTAACTCTCACTTAATTAAAGAGTTTAGAACACGGATCAAAGAGGTTGAACAAGCAATCGGTGATGCCTGCAAGGATTCTGATTTGCCACGGAGGTAAAGAAGTAGACAAAACTTTCCATTGCATTTTATATCCAATAACAAACTTGAATTCTCAAGTACCAGAGTAACTAACCTTAAGTTTAGTGTTAAATTGCTTCCACGAGCTTTATATCTGAGGAACAGTTGATTTTTTCAGTGCTTCACAGAAAATGAAAGGAATGGAGGCTTCATTTTCCAAAGCAAGTCGTGCATACCCTCACTGCTCTCAAATGGCAACAAAACTTCGTGCCATGGCTTATAATGCTGAAGAACAGATTCAGGCGCAGAAGAATCAAGAGTCATATCTTGTTCAACTTGCTGGAAGGACTACCCCTAAAGGCCTTCACTGCCTCTCGATGTGGTTGACAGCTGAATATTTTTTCCTTCAACCTGAGGAAAGGAAGTTCCCTAACCAACAAAAGTTGAATGATACAGACCTTTATCACTATGTTGTATTCTCTGACAATATTTTGGCTTGCGCAGTGGTTGTTAATTCCACAATTTTCTCTGCCAAGGTAAACTGCCTTTGCTACTTCCATTTTTTATTATTATTTTATCAATTTTCATTAAATTCCAATCTTGTCTTGTTTTATGCGAGGATGCTTTGTTGTTTTATTTTACTAGAGAGTAACTGTTTACTTGTTATGATTTACATGTTGGTGGATGTAATTGTAATGTACCCTGATAATTAGTTTTGACAATGCAGGAACCGGAGAAAATTGTTTTTCATGTGGTGACTGATTCTCTCAACCTCCCTGCAATTTCAATGTGGTTTTTATTAAATCCTCCTGGGAAAGCTACAATTCATATTCAGAGTATAGAAAATTTTGAATGGTTACCATCCAATCATATTTCAGCATCATCAGAACAGAAGTCCAATGATCCAAGATATACTTCTGTCTTTAACCATCTTCGGTTCTATCTGCCAGACATCTTTCCATCACTGAATAAGATTGTGTTCTTTGATCATGACGTGGTAGTGCAAAGAGATTTAACCGAAATTTGGAGTGTTGACATGAAGGGGAAGGTAAATGCGGCCGTGGAGACTTGTCAGGAAAGCGAAGCTTCGTATCATGCAATGCATATGTATGTAAACTTGTCAGACCCATTTTTAGCGAAGAAGTTTGATGTCAATGCTTGCACATGGGCATTTGGTATGAATTTATTTGAACTCCATGAATGGAGAAGAAAGAACATAACCGGGCTCTATCGTATGCAACTGGTAAGGGCTTTTACTTTCCTTTTCTTTTGCATTTGCTCCGTGTTAATATATTATGCTTGTGATTTTTTCCTTTTGGCTGCACATTAATTCCTTGAAAAGATGGTCACCTTTCTTCTAAATGACATGTTGCTTGTTTTCCATTTCAATGCTATGTTGTTCTATTCTGATGAATCGAAAAGAATGTTAATTCAAAGCTTGTTTTCAAGATTTTTCGTACTGCCGTGTGTTTTATTATATGCCTGTTTGCCTGGTTCTTTACGGGGACTTGAGAGGTCATTGTGGAAAGCAGGAAGCTTGCCCCTAGGTTGGATTACCTTCTACAACCAGACTGTAGCATTAGATAAGAGATGGCACATACTCAGGTTAGGTTATAATGCCGGTCTCAGTTCGAGTAATATCGAGCATGCCGCAGTTTTACATTATGATGGGGTCCTGAAACCTTGGCTGGAAATCGGAATCGCAAAATACAAGGGCTATTGGAGCAAATATTTGCAGTATGACCAACCTTACATGCAGCAGTGCAATATCAATGATTAATCGATGATCACAAACATAGAAGTGGGATTCTTTGATTCATACCACATTACTAGTTGAAGAAGCTCACGGGAACTGCTCTTATTGATCTCATTCTTCCAACAATCGTTCATGTAAATGTCAACTCATTTTTTCCGATAATCTTTTAGGGGTTGAGTCAAATTTACGACGATAAGATTCTTTAGGGGGTGGGGTGGATTGCTGTACTCGGAGGGCTATACATTTGTGCATAACTGATCAAAATAATTCCACTAAAACAGGCTTAGATATACTTGAAAAAACCTTTAATTTTTATTTTGAATCATATCAATAAATTGATTTTTTATGTGGGGTCCAAGTTAGCTTTCTTGTCTTTATTGGAACACTCCTGGATCAATCTTTTTTTTTATAGGTGGATGTTGCAACACGTGGACGAAATTGGTTGGGAGTATGTAGATAGGGGATATCAGACGAAGTGGGTAAATTGGTTTGCCAAATGGATTCTACAGCCATCGCAGCAAAATCACTAAGCTGAGCTTTAGCAGTTTCTTCTCTTCCTCAATTGAATCAGCAATATGGAGACCATATCAGCTACCCCATCAATCATCACTGCAGCTGTTGCAACCAGGCCATTACCCAGGCTTGAGTCCCCGGTTGCCATTGGTAAGTTTATATGGTAATTTAAAAGGGTTGTTTCCCTTTTATAACTTCAACTGCATATTTTGTTTTCAGGGCTGCCAAGGATGGCAAAGAGAGGGAAGTGATGTGTTCAGCGGAGGAGAAGGGTTGTGGTGAGGGCAAAGGGTCGGGCATGGGGATGAGTGCATCGTTGCTGGCAGCAGCATGTGCGGCTACCATGTCGAGCCCGCGGGCCATGGCTCTGGTGGACGAGAGAATGTCGACCGATTTTAGCAACAATATTCTTGGGTGGATACTGTTTGGAGCATTCGGCTTGATTTGGGCTCTTTACTTTGTTTACACTTCCTCCCTTGAGATGAGGAGTCTGGATTGTCCCTCTAGCCTTAGCCCAATCGATTTCCTTTCGGTCTTGTTCATTGCACACGTATATCTATATCATGTTTGAACAGGGTTCGGCTGTTCTATCTTGTAATAACACTACACCATGTGTACTCTCTCTCTATCTCTCTCTCATATATATATATATATATATATATATATATATGTTTCAGAGAGGATGCAGGATTTAGAGGGTGAGTTTTTAAAATTTTAAGATCGAACGAATTTATAAAATTTTAAAAAGGACAAAGGTTTTTTAATAGAAAATATAAAAAATTTAAAATATATGATAATTTTAAATTTTTTAGGGCAATTGTCTCTCTCACCAGTATCTATCTCTATATTTCTTTGAAAATTGAAAAATTATTGATAGATAAACTGTTGCATACAACTTAAAGCCCTATTTGTTTCACTATAATTTATTTTTTGAAATATATACTTCTTACATTTTAGTGTTTGATTCAAGTAAAATAAATAATCAATGTAAAATCAATTACAAGTTAACAGAAAAAGCGTTAAATTAATAAAACGAGTGTTTTTTTTTAAAACAAGTCATCTTTCAACTTATTTACTATTTAGCAACTACCTTATTTGAGGAAAACAAAATCATTTTACACCATTCTGAATGTTTTTTTTTCTAGTTGGTGGTACTATCCATGTATGCTTGATTTGTTTAGAAGATGAATCTGTGGGGATGTTAAATTGAGAGAATAAATCAAATATTAAATCTCAACTTGATTGGCTGTCTGAGACACTTAAATCAGTTCATGAATACACATAAATACATGACTTCACTAATTCCTCAAGTGAGGTTCATTATGTTTCCTACCAACAACTTTTTTTTGTATTAAACTAAGATGAATAGAAAGTAATATTTGTTCTAATTACTCTCAATAATTTGACAATGAATGATCAATGACCCTGCTACAACTGCTCGTGCTCGAACACACAACCTTTAAGACACTTAAGTAAATTGGTTTGTGCTCTTAACAACTTTTAAATAAATATCATCAAACACAGAATTATACCATACTTTAACCATGATTCTAACGTGACAACATACCCTTGCCTTAGGATAAGATTTATCACATTACTTAATACCACTAAAGAATGATTAGACTTGGAAGTTGGAAACAAACCAAACCCGGCCAATCATCTCGACGCCCTCCGTCCGATCCAATATAGTAATAATGATATCCCATTACAACTAGGAAAAGGCAAGTCAAATTACTCTAAGTAAACAAAGTTTGGCATTATCAAATATCAGTTGGACACAAAGCAACAAGCATTTTAGAGTAGCCAACCATTATCCATTCTCCTACTACTGTGCATTTCTTTCCTCGGAAAACACCAGTGTTACAATAACACTATATGTATATAATATATTTTGTATGGCCGACAACCCACTAACCGAAAATCAGAGCCCCCCCCACTATGAAAGTGCTTCCATCATTGTCCACTAACCTCACCTTTGAAACAAAAAAGAGGAATAGCATATCAAGTGAGGTTGACAATTCCTCCCCCCCACCGCCTCTTTTTTTTCAACTTTTTAACTTGTCAAGACATGAAGGGCCTGCCGGTATTTTCTTAGGCAGACATCAAACCCCGTTTGAAAAACAAAACAAAAGGTGGTGGTGGTGGAAGAGAATGGCAAAGCATCTGACTTTATTTTTGTGATGCGGGACCCAGCACGAGACTGTGGGATGCTTACCCTTATTTCCGTTTCCTTTCTTTCTATGAAGGGGGATTCGTTTCGGGCTTAAAGACGGAGGAGGTATCCGGCGGTTGAGCGGGGTAGATTGCCGTGGCCAATGAGATGGGCATGATGCAAAGGGCCTTTGATTGGAGGAATTGCATGGCAGCTCCAACGTTCTCTTCCATGAGCTTGGCTACTTGTTGCTCTGTGCCGTCGTTTGACCATTTCTCCCACGCCGGTTGACTCTTTCCACCCTCACCGTTTTCATCCTGGGTGTAATAAAGGAATCTCAATTGCCCAATTCAACCGATGATAAAAAGAAAATGTAGGGCGCATGAATGATTACATATTTGTTATACCTCAATCGATGATAATGGTATGTCCGTCACGAGTGGTGCCACTGCACCTGCCCCTCCCAACCTACTCATGCTCAAAACCTGTTAAATAATCAATAAAAATGACTCCCAAGTATACTGAGAAAAGAAAACTTTAGAAACCAAAATGCATGTTCATCTATAAGACATCGTAGACAAATCCCATAAACATGATCTAAGCAGCACTACAATATGAAATTAAAATATATATATTAAATATGCGAAGACGAAGTACAAAATCAAACAGGTAAAAGAGTTAATGGTACCTTAACTTGGAGCCTCAGGAACTTCACATAATCTACAATTTCATCAAGCATGACTGCCCTATCAGTCTGCACGAAGGAACGTGTCACTATTAAATGAAGTGAAGACATATCAACATAGTTAAACTCCACCCCCCCCCCCCCAAACACAAAAATCTACCATAAAGTTACCTGTCTCAAAGAGATTCATATAACAGTGATCAACTTAGCTAGGTTCAACAACACTAAACTGTATAGTTACGAGTTACTAGCTCTCAGATTAGGACTCCCCAATGCATTCATTTTTTACATGCAATTCGACCAACAGACAACCAATTAGATAGGAACTGAGCCGGAGGAAGTTGAGAAACCCTCAAACAATAATAAAGTTACAGTTTTAAAGCTTCACACCACAAGGTTAGTCGTAAAACTATATTGCAAGGTTATATAACAAGATATTGGAAACACGCAAGTCATTTCATATGAAACAATGAAAGAAAGGAACAGACCTTGTTAACACTAGGAACAAGTTCTTGTAATGCTCTGATTCTTTCAGCAATTCTTTCCCTGCGCAACTGTACAACATATATAACCATATTCAGGGGATAAACTTCAGCATGGCGTATTAATTAAACAACAAAAATAGTATCTAAAAGACCATTCACACTGGGAATTCCCAATTTACACTACTCAATCCTTTTGAATGGTTAATCCTTGTTCTTGGGCACTCAAGTCCAACCCCTCAACTTGACTCTTACCAGTTATATAATGTGAAATGGCTTATAGACACTGGTCCCAATGAGTTTCTTAAGGGATGTGAGAAGAAGTCCTTTTGAATTGCCTCACATTCCAACAGAAACATACGCCTCAATGATTGTTGTTCGATATATTTTTTTCATTATCATGATTTCCTGTGATTGTTTATTTTGATAAATTAAGCTTACCCGTTCAGCAATGCTATGTGGATCTGTGGCCTGTCCTCGTCTAGCCCGCACCCTCGGACGCATTGTTGGTGGATGTGGTGATGGAGCAACATTTGCAGGCATTGGAGAGCAATGGAAAATCTGGAAAGTTATACAAGTCATATCACCAATGATAGGATTTACTCAACCATTTTCCTCAAACAACATCTCTCCTCTCAACAAGGAAAAGGGGTAAAAAAATCATCTTAACCATAATAGTTCAGAGTAAACCCAATCTGATGTTTTAGAATTTACCTGTAAAAAGCAACATAAATCTTACTATAATTGGGCTTCTAGAATTTTAAAAAATTCTGCATAATATTTCCCATAAAATTTGTAGAATAAACCGGAATTATAAATAACTAAAGTACAAAACCAACTGCTTTGTATGATAGAACATCTTCTGAAGTTTGACACCTTCCACAGATAAGTGAACTCAATCGTATATGATGTTCATAATTTTTGACGGCTAGAGCCATTCTTTGGGTAGATGGACCACTAGCATAAGAAAAATTGGTAAGTCAAATGAGAAAAACGTCAATTTACTTCGAACTAAGGAATCAACAGTCACTTATTAATTGAGATATGAGACTTTTCTTTCACTATATAACTCTTTAGTCCTCAAAAGGCGAAGCTTTCATTTTTGGGTAATTAGCAGGGGAATCTAATAATTCTGCACTGCAGTTAGTTTACATCACTCATAAGATCCTAGAAAGACCTTGTGTACTCTTTACTTGGTCAAATATAAAAACCTGACATGTTTTCCCTTGTCTTCTGTGCTGTTAGACTGAAACGGAAGGACATAGCAACATGATAAAGAACCAGACAGAGAAATTGGAGTCAAGCTCATGGACACACTTGGCAATGCAAAACTTTGAAATAATTCAACAAGGACAAAGAAACATGTAGATGTTACTGGGGGGGAAAGTGATTAATTAATAAGAAATGTATCATCAGTTAGCACAAAATAACCAGCTTTTTGAGTTGCACAAAGGAAATTACCGCGGTAAAAGAAAGACATCTACCCTTTTCGGGTATCAAAAAACAAAAATTGATAATTATAAATGAAAAGAAGAGATAAATTACGATTTTTCTTACGTTTTTTACGGAAGAAGCCCTGCCATCGACGACTTCGTCACGAAACCGCTTGCTGCTGCCTGAAGCTTCGTCGGGCTTCAAAAACCCGCCTTTTCCTTGGTCCAAGCTCAACCCCAACGGAAAAACCTGTCCAGGAAACGCACCACCTCCGCCGAGATGTCCGGCGCCATCACCGGAGTTGAGCTGTAGAAACATTGGCGCCGCAGCACCCGCAGCGGTTCCAGCCAATCCACCGTCGGGTCCAGCCGATCCCGCCTCCAAAGGCGCGAAGTTAGGGAGACCAAGGATTTGCTCAAGGAAATCATCGGCGGGAGCTTCGTGGGGGTTATTAGCCATAAGAAAGTCGAAGAGAGTTTGAAGTGAGTGGAAGTAGCGAGCTAAAGCTACCAAAGAGCATCAACATGCAAGAAATTGAAAGCCCGACAAAAGAAAAGAAAATGAAGTTAGATCATATCTTTCTGTTTCTAGCTTCAATCACTAGAGGCTTGGGTTTTCTTGTGTTTTTGGGGTTTTCAACTGAGTTCTAAGAGAGAAAGGCAAAGGGAAAAAGGAGGAAATGGAGAATTTCCTTTTATAAGTCCTTTTTATGTGGGAGACCATGTTTTTCTTATGCTCTTTTATGTTTATTGGTAGCGTTCGATCGAGTCGAGTAAAAAATTTTTTAGTTATTTGATTTGACGAGTCCTATTTTACAATTCGGAGTTGACTTGAATTTTTTTTTGAGTCGAGTCGAGTTTATAAAATTCGAGTTGAGTCAATTTTTCGAGTTTATATTTAAATTTAATTGTAAATATTTATAATATTATAATATCATTTGATTCTAATTTAAGTGATTTTCTATAACTATATATACAATAAAAATATATTCCTTTATATTTTTTTCATATATGATACATATGTCATACAAAGTCGAAGGATTCGATTTAAACTTGAAAATAAATACATTAATTATTAAAAATTTTGAGTTATTCGAGTTGTGTTTTACAACTTGAATGAACTTGAAATTTTTTTGAATCGAGTCGAAAGAATCGGTTTTTCAAGTCGAGTCGAGTCATGTTTTGCTCATCCTTAAGCTAGATATTAGCTTAGTGAATATGATATGATAAAATATGATATCATGATCTCAATGATTATGTAGTTCAAAAGATTATGAGATCATATATTTTATTATATCTCAGTCATTATTTTAACGTCTAACTCAAACAATCGTCAACTAGTTAACGAAAAAATACGAATTCATAAAATATAAATAGTCGGATGACCATTTCATAACTTCTTATAGTCGAGGGACTTAAGAAAGTAATGTCCCATAGTCAGGGACCATTTTGTAACATTTGATCGGGACTTAACAAAACAACATCCTATAATTAGGAGATTATTTTTGTATTTTACCCTAATTTTTAAGATCTAAAATTTTTAATTATCATATAATTTATTATAATTTATTAAATGATGTGAATCAAATATTTAATTATTGTTTAAAAAATATAAACAAAATTTTAAAATAATATATTTATAAAAGTTTAATATTACATTAATAAAAATAATTAAAATTTAAATAATATATCTAATATAAATTTAATATTTATAATATAACACTAAAAAATAATATTTAATTTATTTACCTTTATTCTATTTTTAATTTGAAAAACATAATAAAAATTATTTAATTAAAATTAATAACCAAATAAAATTTTAATTAAAATTGAAGAATAAGATATATCTTTTTATTAATCTAGTATGTTATATCATTTTTTAATAACAATTAATGAGGTTGTGACTAATAAGTAATATTTAATGTTTAATATTTAACATATAAATTTTAAATACGAACCAAACGATTTTAATGATAAATAAATTATTGTTATTTTTTGAGGACCTAAGTATAATTACCATGAATGTCAGGGATATGAGCGCTTAATGTCAAATGATTGAAAGTTATCTCTGAACAAATATCACCTTATACTTAGCATATATCAATAAAAAAACATATATTTTTAAAAATTGATATTTTAAATAACTTAATAATTATTATAAAATTTATATTGTAAAATAAATGGTAAATATCAATTCTATCATTTTCCTATTTTTTAATATTAACTCTTTCGATAACTTATCATCCAAATTTTAATTAAGAATACATAAAAAATGACCTCAATAATAAAAGAATTATTTTATTCTTTGAGATTTCGGATTCAAACATCATAAATGATATGTGTATAAGAGTTCAATGTCAGATAGTTGAGAAATATATTTAAACAAATATTACCTTATACTTATCTCAAATTAATAAAAAAACATATAACATTTAAAAAATGATATTTTAAATATTTTAATAATTATTTATAAATTTATATTATAAAATAAATAGTAAATATCAATTCTATAATTTTTTATTTTCTAATATTAGCTCTTTTATTAATCTATCATCCATTTTTTTAATGAAGATTAAAGAATTAAGTGACTTCAATGATAAAAAATTTATTGTTATGATTTGATGTTTCAGATTCAAGCATAATAAATTTCAAAAGTATAAATGTTGACTTGTCTTTAAACAAATACTACTAAAGATGGGCATGGATCAGATTTTTTACCACTCCCACTTCAACTGTTACTATATTTCTCCACTCGATACCCTATTATACTTTGAGAAGATATCATTTGACTTGAACTCCGATCCGATTCTTTAAATGAGAAAACCTGACCTGACATCCTTAAATCATGCAAAAGCCAGAAATTAGGGTTCATTCAAAATCATAAGAATAATAATAATAAAAAACACCAACAGATACAAAATCATGCAAAAACCATTACTATATATTTATCAATATTGATTAAAATATATTATACTCCAAATAAGTTCTTTAAATATTAGGGGTAAGCATTCGATCGAGTCGAGTAATTTTTTTGAGTTATTCGAGTTTACGAGACCCATTTTATAACTCGAATTTGACTTGAAATTTTCTCGAGTCGAGTCAAGTCAAATTTTCGAGTTTTCATTTACATTAAATTATAAATATTTATAATATTATGACATTATTTGATTCTAATTTAAATGATATTTTATAACTACATACAATACATATATATATATTCGTATTTTTTCATATATCATTCACATATATCATACAAAGTCAAGGGATTCGACTCAAACTTGAAAATTAATCTAATAATTATTAAAATTTCGAGTTATTCGAATTTTATTTTACAACTCGATTTGAACTTGAAATTTTTTCGAGTCGAGTTTCTAAATTATAACTCGAACTTAATCGAGTTGAGTCAAAAAATCGATTTTTCAAGTCGAGTCGAGTTTTACTCGGCCATAGTCTCCAATTTTTTTATTTTAACGGAGTTAATGATTTGGAGTAAACAAGTAACGATTTAAATTTTAGGAGACAAAACATCTCGAAAAATATACAACTTACACAAATGATATATTTTAGGAGCAATAGTACATTTAAGCCAAAAAGAAAAGAGTAGTTCTGTAATATGTGCTAGAAATTTTGAAATGGCGAAATGGATGAACTTTCCCACCCAAAACTAACCGCCATTTCGAATTTAATAGCCAAACGAATCCGACTGAGAGTAAAGAGCAACTTTCCGCTTCATCTTAAACGCAAAAATATTGGCTCTCCACTTCCCCATTCCTGTCAGGTCTCTTTCTCTCGCCAACCCCTTCTTTTCCGATTTAAATTTCAAACTTTGAATCTTATTAGCGTTTAGTAGATCTCCGATTTACTAATTTCTGGTAGTGTTGTTTTTTTTATTAATTTTTTTGGGTACTGATTCAGAATTAACTATGGTTTCTTTATTGTTAAGGTGAACAAAGATGGCAGGAAAAGGCGGAAAAGGGCTTTTAGCGGCGAAAACAACCGCAAGTAACAAGAACAGGAAGCGCCCGGTTTCTCGTTCATCTCGTGCCGGTATTCAAGTATGTCGTATCTTTGATTCTCAGAGGTATTTGGAATTAACTTTCATCAATTCTTTTATGTTTGATTCCAAGTTTCTCCTTACACGAATATGGCGCATCTTTGGAAATTTTCCCGGTAACAACGTGAAATAATTTGTCATTTTCCTGTTTTCTGGGTTAAACATATTTGCTTCCTTAATTCTTTAACACAATTCAGAAGGCAACTTTGTTTGCCAATGTTTTGAATTAGCTAAGGTTGTTAATGAGACTAAACATATAGTAAGTTATTCGAGTTTGACTTGGTTGAAGTTAAGTCGATACTAGATTTGAATGAACTCAATTTGAATTTTTAACGAGTCAAAACAAGTTACATAACTTAAATATCTTGTGATTAACTCAAAAATAATGATATTAAAATTTTAATTTTAAAATTATATTATTAGTAATATTAACATTTATATGTTTTTTTTAAATACATTATAAGGTTTTTATGTACTTAATGTTTATATTTGAGTTCAAGTTCAAGCAATAACCAAGTTGAGTCTGAGAATTTTTCAAGTTTTTCAAGAGTTGAACTTCAATTTTTAATTTTAAATTCTAGTCGAACTTAACAATTTTAAACTCGTGAATTTTTTTAGTTGAGCTCAACTTTAGACTTTTTGAATCTAGTCGAGTCAAGCTCAACAATACTCATACTCACTCTTCTCATTTACATATCTAGAATAATCTATATGCTTGCTGTATTTAGTATTGGAAAAGACCCTTAAACGTTCCATGTTTCTTAAATATTATTAGTTCCCAGTGGATCGTATACACCGTCATCTCAAGTCCAGAGCATCTGCAAATGGCCGAGTTGGGACGACGGCTGCTGTTTACTTGGCCTCTATCCTTGAGTACTTGACTGCGGAGGTTCTTGAGTTGGCTGGAAACGCAAGCAAGGATTTGAAAGTGAAGAGAATCACTCCGAGGCACCTGCAGTTGTCCATTAGAGGGGATGAAGAGCTTGACACCCTTATCAAAGGTACCATCGCTGGAGGTGGTGTCATCCCTCACGTTCATAAGTCCCTAATCAACAAAATTACTAAGGATTGATTACTTTTCCCTATTTTAACTCGATGAGGTACTTCAATATGTGCTTTAATTGTGTTTGCTGTGTATGTTGCTGGGATTGCTGTTTTGGACTCGAGGATCTTTGTTTATTGTAGGAGTGATGCTTGTTGCATGGATTTAACTACTGTTTATCTTAATGCTTTGTGTGAATTCCTTTCCAATGTTGAACAAACAATATGCTCAGCTACTAGCTGTCGTTTTAGTGATGTTGCCGCCCAGAATGGTGGTCGGAATTCTCATAAATCATCAATAACAAATCAGCTCAAGCTCAGTGATCTTGTCTGTCTTGGGGGCTTCGATTTAAATAGCGTATTTCTATTACCTTGCATATATCTGGTAAATGCAAAGCATGTAGAATGTATTTGATACACAAATTTCATCAGAGCCTGGATAGTAAATTGTACAAATCAATTTAATCCATCTAAAAACTTTGCATTGCACACTGTGTCAATTGAATATTTGTTACCAATTGAGCAGTAACATGTGCATGAAGGATATGCTGGTTGTCGCAGTCGTCTTTCAGGTGGATTCGGAATTGGGCTTCAATTTGAATAAAATGTTAGAGCCGCCATTGATAATTTATTTTTTAAAAATTTGGTTGATCGGAAATCATCTTACTTGATCTGTGTTTTACCAGAAATATGTTGGATTCGAGAGTCGGTTACAGTCAAAGAAGGATTAGCACCCTTGAACTGTCCTTTCGGTACCATTTAATTTGTCGGTTGTCTTAGTTGCGAAAATTAAAATTTAAATCGAAATTTAAAAATTCAATTCGAATTACTTACCTTTGATCGATTGAAATTACTACCTAAAAAAAGTCAAAAATGTGTTAGATGGTAGAATATAATATTAAATAAACCAAAGAGAGAGAAAATTAAATTAAGAAAATTAAAAAATTAAAAATGTTAAAAGAGGAAAATAAAATAAAATAAGGTGAAGAAAATCTTAAACTTTAAAGAAAAAATGTTAAGTTTCAAAAGAAATAAAATAAAAAAAATAAAAATAAAAATTAACGGAAAAAACAAAGAAAATGTTATTTTTTCAAAAAAAAAAGAAATAAAAAATGTTAAATGTTAGAAATAATAAAATAAAGGAAATAAATAAAACTTAAGGGACCAAATTGAGAGTTATGGATCGAAATGATGCAAAAATTGAATTGCAAGAGAAAAAACAAAAATTAGGGGGTTAATTTGCAAAATATAAAAAATATAGAAAATGATTGAATTGAAATAATTGAAAATGAGGAGGCAAAATTGAAATAGGTGACCAAAATGAATTACATATCAAAGTAGCAGGGACGGCGGAAAAGATTTAAAAATCCTTTAATTACACAATTTTCATCAATATATAAATACCCAAAAACCCCATTTCCATTTCATTTTAAACATTTCCCCAAGGCTTCACCTTCCCCACCCGAGAAAACCTTTCAACAAAATCCTTCTTCAGCCAATGGCCGACCCCTTCCGACGAGGCCTTTCACTGTACCGGTCGCCTCTCCGGTGGCCAGAAAAACCAAACTCACCCAAAATATTCCCCTCAACACCAATCCAAAACCCGATTGCCCAAAAAGGTACCACACCAGCGTAGATCTACGGAGAAACATTCTGATTTTTACGTTTTTGGGGAAATCGCTTTTGCTTTGGCTCGGTTTTTGGTGTATATTGCTTGTTTTCTTTGTTGCTCGGTTGGTATTTGCTCTATTTCTCTGTGTATTTTTTTGATCGATTTGTGTTGGTTGCTCTATGTGGTTCCGTTGATCCTTGCTTGGCCTTACTAGGGACTTTTTATAGCCCCAGTTTTGGCCGTTTGATTCTCGATCGGGACGAGATTTATGGGCTGTTTGTGGAGTTACTTGTTCTGATCTTCTTTTGCACGCCGTTCGGTCGTTCGTGATACGAGTCACTTCGGTATGGTTCAGTCCCGGGGATTTCAGCCGGTTGGTAACCTTGTTGGCACGTGGCCTCCACACGCGCTACTTGATCTCCCAATGCGGCGCTGGACTTAAGCGTAAAACCCTAATTTATTTAGACTGTCCGAGTTGGCTGGCTGAGTCAGGTCTGCATACCCGATTGGGCTTCTCCTTTGACCAGATACTAAATTGAAGCTAAAACCTAAAATAAAATAAAATGAATAAGTAAAATAAAAAAAATAAATAAATAAAATAAAATAATATAAATAACTAACTAAAAAAACTATTATTATATGTTTAATTTTTTTCAAAGCTATATAATATATATTTTTAAAAAATTGTTTTCAAAACAATATAATATATTTATTTTCAAAATGTTTTCAAAAACTATATATTATATATATTTTCAAAAATGTTTTCAAAAACTATATATTATATATATTTTTTTCAAAATGTTTTCAAAACTATATAATATATATATATATATTTTCAAAAATGTTTTCAAAAATTATATATTATATATATGTTTTCAAATTTTCAAAACTATATAATATATATATTTTCGAAAATCATTTTCAAAGCTATATATATATTCAAAAATCGATTAAAAAGTATATATTATATGCTTTCAAAAACCGTTTTCTAAAAAACTATATATTATATTTTTTCAAAAATATTTTCAAAAACTCTACTATATTAATATATACTAAATAAGCCCGAACGAAAATGGGCGTCTACAGCTGCCCCTCTTTGTCATTTTTCGTGCAACGAAAAATATGACAAAGATAAAATGACACAAATTTTCGTTCGGTATGAAGGGGTCCCTGAGTCTAATATCCTCCTTTGTGGAGTTGAAATTGACTCTGATATTGCAATTAGGAATAACTCTCTGTTAAATTGAGTTGCGAATGACTATTCCTTCGCGAAGTTGAGTCATTCATGAAATTGAAATCGCAGTTTGGAATTTGAATCGGAAGGTGGCTTCTTATTGCCAAATCGTAGTCAACCTTGGTCTTTTCCTCGGTTTAAAGACCTCGGTTTGAAAAATTGACTGGAAAGTAGTTCCTCGACACTACCATGTGGTTGATAGGCCCTCGAGCTGAATGGAATCAAACTCGAAAGTCTTCATTGACATATAACTTTTCTTAACTTAAGCTATGTTGCTAGGAGATAGTTTCTTGTCACTAAAACACAGCTAACTCAGGTCTTCTTCTTGACTTAAAGACCTTAGTTTAAACTTCAACCGGAAAGTAGTTCCTCGCTGCTACAATGCGGTTGATATACCATCGAGCATAATGGAATCGAACTCGAAAGTCTTTATTGACAGATAGCCCTTCTTACCTTGAGCTATGCTATAAACTTGATATGCCCTTGAGCTGAATGGAATCAAACTCGAAGGTTTTTGTTGACAGATAGCCCTTCTCGCCTTGACCTATGCTGTAAATTTGATATGCACTTGAAGGTTTTTGTTGACAGATAGCTATTCTCTCCTTGAGCTATGCTGTAAATTTGATATGCCCTTGAGCTGAATGTAATCGAACTCGAAGGTTTTTTTGTTGTCAGATAGCCCTTCTCGCGTTGAGTTATGCTGTAAATTTGATATGCCCTTGAGTTGAATGTAATCGAACTCGAAGGTTTTTGTTGATATATAGCCCTTTTCGCCTTGAGTTATGCTATAAATTTGATATGCCCTTGAGCTAAATATAATCGAACTCGAAGGTTTTTGTTGACATATAGCCCTTTTCGCCTTGAGCTATGTTGTAATTTTCCTCTAAATAAAGGATGACCCCCCTTCGCGGGTCTAAGCCGATCATAATTCTTTAGATGATTTCCCTTCACGGGAAAGCCAAATGATAAATTCTGTCAGTCGAATATCATCCGTCGTGAACTTGAAATCTGGCTTGAAAATGTTAACTGGAAACTAGCACTTGTCGTTGAGTTAAGCTGAACTGGATCCCTTCTGAATTGGCTCTCGAACCCGTCTGAAGTTGATTCTAAAATCTGTAGATCTTTCAATATGTCAAGTTGGTTTAGGTGTAGCTCCTCGCCGTTGAGTTAAGCAATCACCTTCAATTTTTGAAGGCACCTTTTTTTTTGAATCAAGTATCGTTCGTCTTGAAGTTGAAACTTGACTCTGAAGCTACAAAAATTATGTATGCGAAAATTGATAAATGTGATGCTCTTAAGTATGTCTAAGATGTATGCAACACATATTAGTAATTGTTTTATCTCCTGGATGGAGTCTTATTCTTTTTCTGTCAGTCTTGCCCTTAGAATCGATCATGCCCCATTTTCTTCCTGGGTTGTCGACAATGTCACAAGTTCTATCTGATCACTTTCAAGAATGTGAAATGCTCCATTATTCTAGCATTGTTTATTCTTTCTTCAATAGAGGCAAAACGAGCCTCACCAGCTTCAAGGACCTTTCACATTTAAGACTATCCTGTTTGAAAATGTTTTTATCATTTCTTTTATTTTAGGAGAGAAGAAAAAAAGGATTTTATAAAGTATTGCCCCTTAATTCAGGCTCACAATCGAATCAAATCATAAATATGAGTTCACAGAAAATCAAAAGAATCAATAGCTCTTTAATGCTTTAAGAATTGTAGCTCTTTGACAAATATCCAAATTGATGAGTTAGCTTCGGGTTGGCTTCTTATTTTTTAAGGTTTCAGCCCCCCAAAATGTCATTTCTTTCTTGGTCCTTTTGAACATTGCAACATGCCCCTCTTTCTTGGCTTAGTATTTTAATCGGATGCGGACAAAATGACGTAACTCCTTATTTAGCCTGAGTGCTCGCATGAAATTGACTATAACATGTGTTCCTTAACTCCCTTAGTCCATCTTTACCGAAACTCCTTATTTAGATAAATTTGATTTAATTTGCCATTGTCTGACTTGCTAAATGTAGCTTTATTGTAATTTGTCTTTATCAGGCTAGCTAAATCTTATCCATAAAGCCGGGGTGATTAACCAATTGCTCTAGAGGGACAACTCAATATTATAATCACCTTTATCAAGCTAGCTGAATCTTATCCATAAATCCAGGGCGTTTAACCAATTGCTCTAGAGGGACAACTCAAGCTTTATTGTATATTAATATAATCTGGGTATACAGATCCAATTTCTTAAGTTTGTCAAGAAGAATATGTTATAGTCTAGGTGTTGTTGAAAGTCAAGA